TCTGGCTGTTTGGATCTGCGTCGCAGCTGCATCCCGGGCATCCTGGCCTTCGAACTCGTTGAACATGATGATCTCGAAATCGCCCTTCACGTATCAATACGTCCATTCTGGGGTCCCAGAGATCTTCACATCCTCCTTGAGCCAGCGCGAGGCGGCATGAATGGCATCGAAGCCGTCGAGATCGCCGACGACCGCCGCGCAACTCCTCTTGCCGCCCGCGTTGGTGGGAGGGGTCGGCCCTTGAGCTCTCAAGGCTCAGATGCGGGGCCAACTTCGCGTGGACGAGCAACCTCGCGTTCAAGCTCCACCAGTCTAGCCTGAGCAGCGGCGTCGATGGATGCCCCGGACGCCGACCGTGCAGGAGCTGGGCGGGAGGAGCTATTCGATTCCCAATAGTCCAATGCGCTTCGCCAGGTCTCCGATCTCTCGATGAAACGGGTGCACTGCATCATGAAGGTCGGTCGGGGAAAATCCGTGGGCTTGATTGCAGTAGAGTCCTCGCGAATCGGTTCCAACTGCTCGTTCAAAATGAGCGCGCGAAAAACGACCCCCGCCCCCCCCCCATGAGGAACTATAGTCGAATGGGAACGTCAAACGACGCGCGACCTGCAGGCAGAAACAGCTCGACGGTCAGCCAACGATAACGCCGCGCAAACCAATTCGAACGGCGCGCTGCTGCTATGCTCATTAGCGTATGAACTTGGGGTTGCCCTGTGTTGGCACACGGTCAATGTCCACAATCATTGTTGATGTTTGCGCGCTCGTGCCATGGCAAGAACCAAGGGGCGCGTCGGCCCCGCGCGGGCGCGCATCGAAATGTTTAGATCCACCCCGAAAACAAAGTTTAGGCACCAGCCAAAAAAAGTGCACATAAACTCTATACGAAATCGATCTAAACTACTCCGGAGCGAAAAGTCTCCAGCGGGAGAGCCCCAAAAAGTTCATATGAAGAGTAAACGAGCAACAGAAAACAGTATATTGGAACAGTTGCCTCAAGAAACGATCCCGATCTAAACTTTTCGGTCGGCGGGCTACGAGAAGGCGACGGAGTCGGGGGCGGGGGCCCTCGGCTGTGCCAGCGGCGCTGCGGGGCGAAGGACAGCGCCGGCGTCGCCTCAACCTGCATGCCGCGGCCGTGGCACGCGCGGCCGTGGGAATGCCGGCGCGGGCACGGCCGCGTCGAGTGGGCCCTGGACGTCGCCGCGCGCGCGGGCGCCCCCCGCGGCAGCTGGCAATGGCCTCGCCGACAGGGCGCCTACACTTACGCACGTTCGCCATACATGCAAAACGCTGACACGACATATCCATAGTTGTTGGGGCTGGGGTCGGTTTCCCACCGCTCGCAAAATAGTCTCCAACATGGTCGCTGTCAAAGGCTCAACATTGTCACCAGCGATAGCCGCTTCATATTTTGTGTTGGCGCTAGCTGAAATAATCGTCGTCATCGAAACTGATCAGCGGGCTCTCATGCCGGGCGGTTTTCTGCTTGCCCTGCGATATAGGCGGCGATGGCGGATGCGACTGGTCCTGGAACAGCTGCCTGACAGGGGTACCTGGCACGCGCTTAGTAAGAGTCCGTAGAAGACATCGGCATCGACGTGGCGCGAGTCTTGAAAACAAGCGATAAACTTGTGAGAAGTGTTACCAGAGCGACAGAAGTACACTTGGAACGTACCTTGTACATTGTACCTTGCCTGGAGCCTGTACCTTGTACACACATAACTGCGGCTAGTATCACCCGAGACGTACCCAACGCCTCCTCCACGCCAAAAGAATATAATGCTTGTATAAGCGGTCCATACGAAATAACACATCGCCGAAGATGCACGACCTGCGCTGCCCAAATTCCGCCGTGCCTCTCCAGGAACCCACGAAAAAGGGCGACAATTGCGCACTTCGTAGCCCCCAAAGGAGCCAGCGAGATCACGGCCTCCCAGGGAACCGCGAGGTCACGGCTGGATCCGCGTGGCCCCCGACCCCGCTGGACCTCCCACAAAAGTGACCACGGTTGCGCAGTTCGTAGCTCACCCAGGGAGCAGCGAGGTCCCGTCTGGGTGCGTGTGGCCCACCGACTCCGCCGGACCTCCCGGGAGCCCACGAACGTGCAAGGGAGCCGCGAGGTCTCGGCTGGGTCCGCGTGTGCCTCCACTCCGCTGGCCCTCCCAGGAGCACACGAAGGTAGTGACGCTTGCGCAGTTCGCAGCCACCCAGGGAGCAGCGAGGGAACGTCCAGGCGTCCGTGCCCCCCGACTCCGCCCTACCTCCCAGGAGGCCACGAAAGTGGCGACAATTGCGCAGATCGTAGCCTCCCCAGGAGTCAGCGAGGTCCTCCTCCTCCTCCTCCTCCTCCTCCTCCTCCTCCTCCTCCTCCTCCTCCTCCTCCAGTCTGGGTGCGCGTGACCCCCGGCTCCGCTGGCCCTCTCAAGAGCCCGCGCACGTAGTGACGGCTGCACGGTGCGCAGCCTCCCAAGGAGCACAGAGGTCTCGTCTGGGTGCGCGTGGAGCCCGGCTCCGCTGGGCCTCCCCATGATCGCATGAGCACACGAAAGTGGCGTCAGCTGCGCAGGTCACAGCATACGAGTGAGCGGCGAGGTCTCGTCTGGGTGCGCGTGCCCCCCGACTCCGCTGGACCTCCTAGGAGCCCACAAAAGTGGCGACGATTGCACACTCCGCAGCCATCCAGGAAGCAGCAAGGTCTCGGCTGGGTCCGCTTGCCTCCACTCCGCTGGCCCTCCAAGGAGCCCGCGAACGTGGCGACGGTTGCGCACTTCGCAGCCACCCGTGAAGCAACAATGTCCCGTCTGGACCTCCCAGGAGCTCACGAAAGTGATAAGTGCGCAGTTCGCAGCCACCCAGGGATCAGTGATATTCCCGTCTGTGTGCGCGTGCACCCCCGACTCCGCTGGACCTCCCCAGGAGCCAGCGAACGTGGTGACGGTTGCGCAATTCGTAGCACACCCAGGGAGCAACAAGCTTCCCGTGTGAGTGCGCGTGGCCCCCGACTCCGCTGGACCTCCCAGAAGCCCACGAAAGATGTGAAAGTTGCGCAGGTTGCACCCTCCCAGGGAACAACGAGGTTCCCGTCTGCGTGCGCGCGTCCCCCGACTCCGCTAGACCTCCCAGGAGCCCAAGCAATTTGCGACAATCGCAGCCACCCATGGAGCAGAGCTCTCAGCTGGGTCCGCGTGCCCCCACGACCGACTCCGCTGGACTTGCGGATGCCATGCCAATGGACACGCTCACAACCCGATCACTTAATTAAGGACGTGCTTAACATGTTTTACAACATGCTCAACAAATGTTTGAAACAGGTTGCTTTACACTGTTTAGACATGTATAACATACATATTTTAGAAATCTGGAACTTATTTGGCAGCATGTGTCCCGTCTGGGTGCATGTGCCCCCCGACTCCGCTGGACCTCCCCAGGAGCACACGACAATGGTGACGGTTGCGCAATTCGCCGCCACCCAAGGAGCAACAAGCTTCCCGTTTGAGTGCGCGTGGCCCCCGACTCCGCTGGAACTCCCCATGAGCACACGAAAGTTGTGACAGTTGCTCACTTCACAGCCTTGCAGGGAGCACCGAGGTCCCGTTTAGGTGCGCTGCACCCCGACTACGCTGCACCTCCCAGGAGCTCACGAAAGTGGCGACGATTGCAACATTCGCAGCCACCCAGGGAGCAACAGTGTCCCGTCTGGGTGCGCGTGCCTCCGCTGGACCTCCCCAGGAGCACACGAAAGTGGTGACGGTTGCGCAATTCGTAGCACACCCAGGGAGCAACAAGCTTCCCGTGTGAGTGCGCGTGGCCCCCGACTCCGCTGGAACTCCCGGGAACCCACGAAAGTTGCGACAATTGCGCACTTCACAGCCTCGCAGGGAGCAGAGAGGTCCCGTTTACGTGCGCTGCACCCCGACTACGCCGGACCTCCCGGGAGCCAGCGAACGTGGTGACGGCTGCGAAGTTCGCAGCCACCCAGGCAGCAGCGAGGTCCCGTCGAGCTGCGCGTGCCCCCCGACTCCGCTGGACCTCCCCAGGAGCCAGCGAACGTGGTGACGGCTGCGCACTTCGTGACAGCCCAGGGAGCAGCCCAGGGGGCCGCAGTGTTTCCCCTGTGTGCGCGCCCCCCCCCCGACTCCCCTGGACTGACTACCTACCAGACCACCCCAACCCAACCCGAAGACCCGAATTTCGGGTTGGGGGGGGTGCGGGTTCCATATGTGTTTTCTCGATGTTCCCCGACCCCCCCCCACTGGAAATGCAGTGCAAATTGAGGCCTTCGGGTTGGGTTGGGGTGGTGTGGTAGGTGGTGATGGACCTCCAAGGGACCCGCAGGAGTGGTGAACGCTGCGCAGTTCGCGGACACCCCCGGAGTGGCGAGTCCTCGTCTGGGCGAGCGTGCCCCCCGCCTCCGCTGGACCTTCCGGGAGCCCACAAGGTGGCGACGGCTGCGCAGCTCACAGCCACGCCCAGGGAGCAGCGCCGAAGGCAGGAAAGAGGGGGGAGAGGGAGGAGAGGAGCAGAGGAGCGGAGACCACGGCGTACGAAAACCCAAACGGGAAGGCTGGGAGCACACAGCGATACGAAAGGAACATGACACCTATACAACAAAGGGGATATTGCAGCAACATGTTACACACATCAAGACAGTGCAGTCTACTGAAACCGATTTAAGTGTACTTTAAACGACAATAGCGAGTACCAATCATGAATGCGAAATGCTAAGCATAATTAAGGATGCTGGATATCAAAACAATAGCGGGTAGTCCAGCAATAATGGCAGTGATGTCTTATACACATCCCGATCACTGTGTGGTTCCCGATCACACGCCTCCCCCTCTCCCTCCTTTGCTGCCTGGAGGGGGATGATATTCCCCACCTCCGCCCTTCTGCTCCAGACACGCCACACCCAACTCCCAACCCTAGCACTGCGACTCCCGCACGCGCGGGACGATCAATCCGGCGGCGATCAGCCGGCCGGGCTCGTCTGAGCGCGGGTCTCTTCGGCGCCCGCGAACCGCTCGCGCGCCGACTTGCGCCCTGACGCGGAGCCACAAGCCTCGAGACGAGGAGGACTCGGAGGAGGCCCCTTTCCTCCAGCACGGCCAGGCCCGCTTCACCCCTCTCTGCTCCCTCCCCCCCCTTCGTGGAGTCACCGCTCGCCACCGTGCCGCGAGGCAGGAGCTGCAGAGCCTTCAGGTCCCTTGGAGTCCTCAGTCCGCAGCCCTCAGGATTGAAAAAGAAGGGGTTCAGGCCCCAGCTTCTCAAACTTCCCGGGGTGCACGGCGTGCGTCCCGCGGTCCCCTGGCGCTTCCCGCATGACTCGTTCGGAGACGCGAGCGCCCCCACAAAGGGCCGAGAGGACCCCGAGATGCCTCTGGCCTACAACCCAGGCGCGGTGGCGGGATGGACCGAAGACCAGTAGATCCGCCGTCCCCTGTGGTCTTGCCACACGGGTGCACGGCGTGCCAAACGTCTGGCGAGATCCGGCTCTTTTCTTACATAACTCCCCGTGGGGTCTCGGTCCACTCCGCCGGCCACCCAGAGAGCCACCGAAAATCCAGACCCCGTTGCCCATGTCGTCTTCAAGAAGGCCAAGATAGCCCCAAAGTGGCCTCCAAGATGGTCCCAAGACGCCTCCAAGGCGGCCGCAGAGGCCCATAGAGAGCCCAGGATGGCCGAACTATGTCTCCGAGACGGCCCAAGTTGCACGCAAGACTGCCTAAGATGGCCTCAAGACGGCCCAAGACGGCTCAAGAAGCCCCCAAGAGGCCTCCAAGACTGTCCAAGAGGCCTCCAAGAGAACCTACAGGAAGGCTCGAAGAGGTCAAACTCAGTGATGTTCCCTGAGTTAAGGCGGCCCAAGAGGTCATCCAAATTGCCCCAAGAGCGCCCAAAAGGCCTCCAAGATGGCCCCAGGACTGCCCAAGAGGTCCCCAAGACAACCCCAAGGGAGCCCAAAGAGCCTCCAAAACGCCAAAGATGGTCTCCAAGGCGGCTCTGGAGCGCCCAAAGAGGGCCCCGAGTCCGTTCAAAGAGGCCCCCAAGAAGGCTTCCGGCTGTGTCAGACGGGCCAGAAACGCCCTACGACTGCGAAAGAGTTCCCCAAGAAGCCACCAAAGGCCCCCAAGAGGCCCCCAAGAGGACCCCAAGAGGCCTCCAAGAGGCCCCCAGGAAACTCTCAGCAGGCCCCACAAGTATCCCAGGAAGCTCCCAAAAGGTCTCCTCCTCCTTTTCCTCATCATCCTTGTTCCTCCCATCTCCTCATCCTCCTCTTCATCCCCCACGTGTTCCCCGAATGGTTTCCACAACTGCTGCGGGAGCGCATGGTCCAGTAGCGTGGCCAAACTTTGCCCAAACGTTTGGCCACACAGGCGCATCCTAAAAAGCAGGGGGCGGCGGTGGTTCGCGTTAGGCCAGTAGAACCGCCGCCCCCTGGTGATTCATCACAGGGGTGCACGGCGTGCCAGACTTCTGAAGAGTTCTGGCTCTTTTCTAAAGACCTCCCATTGTGGTCTGGGCCCAACCCACGGACATCTGCACAACGCTACTTCGAAGAAGGCCTAGATGACCCAAGCTGGCCTCCAAGTTTGCCCAAGACGGCTAAGAGATGACTCCAAGAGAGCCAAAGATGGTCCCAAGATGGTCACGAAACGTTTCCAAGACGGCCCAAGATGCCCTCAAGCTGATCTAAGATGGCCTCAAGATGCCTGCAGGAAGGCCGGAGGAGGCCAAACCCATTGATTTGCGCTTGGTGTTTGAAGGATTTGGGCGTCTGCTCAGTTTCGGCTTTCCGACGGGACAAGACGACCCAGGAGGCCACCAAGATAGCCACAAGAGCTTCCAAGAGGAATTCAAGATGGCACCCTGGCGGCCAACGAGACCCCCAAAGACGGCCCCGAGAGGGCCCCAGGACGGCTCAGGAGACCTCCAAGACGCCCAAGATGGTCTCCAAGACGGCCCTGAAGATCCCATAGAGGGCCCAAAGCCGACCCTGAGAGGTCCGCAGGACGGCTCCCGACGGCGTCAAACGGGCCAGGGACGCCCAAGACGAGAGAAAATCTTACAACGCCCGCTCACAGAAGGCCCAAGGAGGCCCCCAAGAAACCTCCAAGAGGCCCCCAGGAGGCGCCCGGGAACCCCAAGAATGTACCCAAAGACCCAAAGAGACCTCCTCCTACTCCGTTTTTGTTCTCCCTCTGGTCCTCTGCCTTGTCCTCGCCAAAAATGTTTCCGGAAGGGCTTCCACAAGGGCTGGGGAGTACACAGTCCGACAGCGTGGCCGAGCTCTGGCTACAACGTTCGGCCACATAGGCGCTTCAACAAGGCAAGGGGCGGCGGTGGTTCGCCGTAGGCGTCTTAGGTGGTAGTAGTTGGTCCTTTTGAAGTGTCTAGGGGACCTTTGGCCAATGCGCTAGCAGGGAGTCCAGACGACCCCAAGATGGCCTCAAAGGAAGCCAAACTGGTCTCCAAGACCAAGAGGGCGCAAGATGGACCCAAAATGTCTCCAAGACGGGCGGAGATGCCCTACATATGGCCGAAGATGGCCTCATGATGGCTTGCCACAATGGTGTACGGCGTGCCGAATGTTAGGTCGTTTCTGGTCCTTTCTAAAGGCTACCAAGGGCATCCGGCACAACCTGCAGGCCACCAAAAAAGACGCGCAAACTTCCGTCTCCGTTGGTTCCTTCGCCCCATGAGGACCTGTAAATGTCCCAGGTCGTCGGTCTTCCCGCTCGAGGCGGCCCCTAAGTGGCCTCCAAGACGGCCAAGCTGGTTTCCAAGACGGCTGCGATGGCCCAAAGAGAGCCCCAAGATGGCCGCAAAATGTTTTCAAGACGGGCCGAGATGCCTCCAAGATGGCTCAAAAATGGCCTCAAGATCGCCCAAGAGGCCTCCAATACTGCCCAAGAGGCCTCCAAGAGGACCTCCAGGAAGGCCAAAACAGAAGCCAGACTCACTGGTGTTCCAAATGTTCTTGAAGGATGCTGGCGTCTGCTGTTTTTCGGCTTTCCGACGGCCCAAAACGAACCCAAGATCACCAAGATGGCCCCAAGAGCGTACAAGAAACCTCCGAGATGGCCCGCTGGCGGCCCAAGAGGCCCCCAAGAGGGCCCCAAGAGGGCCCCAAGCCAGCACAGGATCCCTCCCAAACACCCAACGTGGTCTCCAAGACGGCCCTGGAGGCCATGGGAGGACCACCACAAGACGGCTTCCGACGGCGTCAGACAGGCCAGGAAAGCCATCAGACGGCCAAAAAGCCTCCCAAGGCCTCCAAGAAGCCCAAGGAAGCCCCCCACAGGCCTCCAAGAGGCCCCCAGGAAGCTCCCAGGAGGCCGCAAGAGTGCCCCAAAAGGCTCCCAAGAGGCCTCCTCCTCCTCCTCCTCCTCCTCCTCCTCCTCCTCCTCCTCCTCCTCCTCCTCCTCCTCCTCCTCCTCCTCATCGTCCTCCCCCTCCTCCTCTCCTCATCATCCTCCTCACCCCGCGCTCTGAAACCCAATCCCGTTCATGTTGGCGGCGCGCACACGGTGGTGGCGCGAGGGGGGCGGCCTTCCAAGAAGGCGGCGCGCTTCTTAGAAGGCAGGAGCCTTTTTGGAAGGACATGGTAACTTTTAAGAAGGCTTCTTAGACGCAATGAGTGTTTCTAAGAAGGCCTCTGCCTTCTTAGAAGCTCCCCCGCCTTGAAAGAAGGCCGCCACCCACGCGCCATCCACTTGAGCGCGCCGCCAATCATGAAGTGCGGGACCCGCTCCTAACCTCGAATCTCCAAGCACGTGCCAGGCGCGTGCTGTATACCCTCTTTTAGCTCGGGCGTGCAACATACACACCCTTTGCTCACCGAGGCGCACCTTGGATATGAATGAACCTACACATGTCTACACATGTAGCAGTGTGTTGATAGTTCGTCGGAGACACATACATACAGATGCGTGCGTGTGTGTCCTGACCCCACTTCCTCCGCGCACGCATCTGCTGGTGTGAAGAGCCCGCTGGCCACTCCAGCGCGCCCAGCTTTGCACCCATCCAGCCAGTGGGGCCCACCAGGCCCGACGGCAGAAGGATGGCCCTGGGCCAGGAGTCCACACCAGGAAGACTCCGCCTCCTCCGCCTCCTCCTCCTCCTCCTCCTCCTCCTCCGCCTCCTCCTCCTCCTCCTCCTCCTCCTCCTCCTCCTCCTCCTCCTCCTCCCCCACCTCATGACGCCTGGGAGTCCCAGGACCGTGTGGCGACAGACCGTGCGATGACCTCGAAGGACCTCGCCGCACGGTCGGTCCCCGCAGAGTGTGGGGACCCTGGAGGCCCCAGCCGGCCGAGGCATCCTCGGAGAACGACCAAGTCTCAAAACCATGCGTTGACCCCGAATCCCTACTGACTCACCACACCAGACAAGCGCGCTCCACTACTCGCAAAGTATCTGCTCGCAAATGGCCTGGATCCGCCGCGGGTGGTTGACGAGTTGACGATACTTTACACAGAGGATGACATATTGTTCTGGACGTTTGCGAGCAGGCACTCTGCGAGCAGTGGAACGCGACCGGTGACACACGGCGTGGTCACCACACCGTCTGGTGGCCCCCAACATGTCGGCAGGGGCCTGGGGACGGACGCGCTCTGCTCTGGCCCGGGGACCTGGGAACAGGGGGAGCCCGAGCTGATCCTGCCCCAGCCACACGTACAGGTCCAGCACCTCGCGCGCCGTCGCGTCCGCGTCCTCCCTGGTGGCGTGCGCCGTGTGACCCTCCTGGGGGAGAGACATCCTGGATACCGCTAGACATCGAAGCCGTGACATGCCGCAGAGAAGAAGACCACATACACTGACAGTGGCAGGAGGAGGGGAGATTGAGGAGGAGGGGAGATGATGATGATGATGATGATGATGGTGATGATGATGATGATGATGATGATGATGATGATGATGATGATGATGATGATGATGATGATGATGATGATGATGATGATGATGATGATGATGATGATGATGATGATGATGATGATGATGATGATGATGAGATGGGAGGAGGAGGAGGAGGAGGCAGGGAGGGAGGGAGGGAGGGAGGGAGGGAGGGAGGGAGGAGGAGGAGGAGGGAGGGAGGGAGGAGGAGGGGGAAGGCGAGCCAGGTGCGGGGCAGGGAGGAGCGAAGCGGCGAGGACGTCTGCGGCCACCGTGCGGCACCGCGTGGCGAGCGCTGCGCGAGAGGACCGGCGGGGCCCTTTTTGGCCACGGAGCGCCTTGGCCACGACCGGGCTCTCCCCATGGCCTGGCTCTGGGGAACGGCCCCCAGGCCAGGGGGAAGGGGCCCCGGGACCCACGAAGAAATGCACACACAAGTAAAAGGATTCCCCAGATTCTCCCAGGTCTTCTGGGCTCCTGCCTTCCCCCCCACTGCCCATATTTTCCCATCTTCTCTGGGAGTCGAAGATTCATTGTGTCTGTGTGTGTTTTTCTCCTCCTGGCAGAGCCCCCTCCCGCGCCCCAGAAGCGACACTCACATTCAGTCGGGGGCGCGCGGGCACGGAGTGGCGATCCACGGACTTGGCGCGCGCGCGCGGTCGCCGAGTCCATGGATCGGGGGAGGTGCCCTTCTCAAGATGCGGCCGGTGCCGCCTCGCTCGGCGGCGGAGAGCTGCGATTTCCCCTGGGAACGGGGCCCTTCGCTAATCCCAGGCCCCCTGAGCCATGCTTGCGATCGCCTGATTCACGTCAGCGTCTTGACCGTGCTGAGGTCCTCAGGTGTCCCTGAGGTCCCAGGAAGCCTCCAGGAGCCTCGTCGGTGGCGCGAGAAAGAAGCCCAGATTGCCAAACAGCCACAATCCTCGAGAATCTCTGAAGGACCTTCCACCAAAGGTTCCGTCCGCCCCGCCAGGGGCATCCTTAGGAGAACGCATCTTCGCTCCCCCCACCAATAGGATCTGGTCTGGGAAGGGCTGGGCGGAATTCTCCCCGCCGCCCGAGCCTGCCACAGGAACTCCGCGCTGCGCAGGAAAGGGCGCGTCCTCATGGAGGATGAAGAAGATGAGGAGGAGGAGGAGGACGACGACGACGACTGCGGCGGCGGCGACGTCGACGAGGGCGACGACGAGAAGAGCCCGCTTGCCTCATCTCCCACCGCATGACGTTGACCCACTGATTCATCTTCAGCGGCAAATCTTGGTAGCTTTGGATCCACTTCCCGTACATGTGCCACACAACTGTCTCCGACGTTGGTCGGATCACGTACGGATCAGGCAGCTTGCTGTCAGGATCCACCGCCACTGCAGCCTCCCCGTTCTCGCCGATGACGCTCTTTAGCCGATGGTGCGTTACCACTGCGCACTCCTTCGCGAAACCGTCTACGTGCGTCGCCTCCTTCGACAGGAAGCTGACAGGGATCAGCAGCGGGAAGTAGGCGTTCTGCACACCGATTGACTTCAGCTTAGGGTCCAAGAGGCCCTGAATAGACTCCCAAATGGCAAAGCCAGCCGGCCGCAAAATCTTGCAGCCGCGGACGGGAGCGTCGTCGACAAGATCGGCGGCCGCGATGACGTCCAGGTACCACTGGGGGTAGTCCTCCGAGCGCTTCGAGATCTTGACCGAGGCCGGCGCCGAGCTGGCGCTGGCAGTCTCCTGCTGCTGCTGCTGCTTCTGCTTTTTCTGCTTCTTCGGCTTCTGAATCGGCTCCTCTGGGGGAACCCAGAAAATCCGATACCGCTGCTCCCCGAACCTCTCCCAGGGGGCGTTCTGCCTAAGAATGGCCAGGGTTCCAAGGCGAATCTAGCCTTGGCGACGAGGGCCCGCTAGGAAGCCTAAAAAGGCGACGACAGGGGACCCAAGCATCCGGCACTGCGATACGTTCGATGCGTGGACGGCGGACCTCGACCCCTTCCTCCCCGAGATGCTCTCGGCGGTCTCGAGAGCGGCCTCAAGAAGCCAAAAAGGGTGGCAAGCCGGCCGCCTCGATTACTCCAGGGGCGCTGGATCGGTGTCGGCGTGGCTTCCGTGAGGAGCCCGTTTTCCACCACCACCACCACCAGAAGTTGGAGGGGGGAAGGAGGAGGAGGAGGAGGAGGAGGAGGAGGAGGAGGAGGAGGAGGAGAAGAAGGAGGAGGAGGAGGAGGAGGACCCTCCAACTTATGGTGGTGGTGGTGGTGGTGGAGAACACGCCCCTCATTCCTCCTCCGGTCCTCCGTCTGCGCGGCCTTCGCCGCGGCAGCGGCGGCCAGCACCGCGGCGGCCGCGCCCACCCTCTGCCACGGCGGCCGCCCGGAGGGGCCCGCGGGGCCGGCGCGGCGGCCCCTGGCAGGAGGGCGCCGGCCGAGTGCGGGCAGTGCTTCTGTCTATACTCCAGATGTCGTAATAAAAAAGGGGGGGGGTCTGGACCCTCCCAGACAAGCCATGTCAGACCCCCCGTGGGAGAACCCTCCAAAACATCGTCCCCAGACGCCCCCAGGCCCTCCAAGATAGCCTGGAAGAGACCCCCCCCCCCGAAATGAGGCCCCCCTCCCTTTATTACGAGACCTGGGGTATCCATGTCTGGGCGACCCAAAAAGGGGTCCAGCTGCAAGAGGGGTGGTGCAGTAGATTTGGGGCAATTGTATTGCAGACGTACGGCGCTGGAGAAGTGTACTGCATTGTATTGCAACTAATGTATTGCACGCGAGAATCCAGCAATACATCTGGGCCCCGGAATGTATTGCACGCCCCAGATGTGTTGCAGCCCCACAAATCTATTGCACCAAATCTATTGCACCACCCCCTTGTCGCTGGACCCCCTTTTGGGTCAACCCGACCATTGCAGGATGGAGTTTCGGGGTCCCTTCCCCAGAAGCCCGAGGCGCGCTGAATATGGAAAAGGTTGTCCCCTTGAGGCTAGGCTTTTACCCATAGCCAGTGAGCCTCGGCCCTGAGGCGCCCCTTTCAAAAAAGTTCAAGACGCACTGGATATGGATATAAGTCTTGCCCGCACCAAAGGCCGAGCTCAACGAAACTGCAAACGTCATGGCACTTCGAACGGAAAACGTAACGAAATCCGGCGTTCACAACAAAGGCTGAAAACGAGACTGGTGCAGCACAGCGGACACAGGAAAGGGAAGGCACCGAAACGGACGCTATCTGTTGTTGGAGACAACGGAGCGGCACGACGCAAGAACGGCACGAGGCGGGAGAAGGCAAAGGCCCAGATCGAGCTACACAGCCTCGGCGTCGACGGCTCTCACCAGCGACGGCCATGCCCACAGCTGCGCCGCCTGACAGAGTATGCACCGCCCCTCCTGCAGAGACTCGCGGCTGCCCTCGGGGGCTGGAGTGGCCCGTGCGGCTCGGTGGGGACTCCTGGGGACGTCCGGACCCTGCAATCGAGGCTGACGGTAAGGACTCGCGGCAAGGATGCAGCAAGCCCTTGGACGCCCATGACGAGGCTCCTCGGGCGGGGCTGCACATACCATGAATTCCGGCTTGGGTCTTTGCGTGGTGCACTCTACGGGGCCTCCAATGGGCCGTAGCGCTACATGGAGGGCCGCAGCGTATGTGGGGCGGTGTCGCTTGCCAGTTGGTCGACAATCACAGAATTTCCCGAATCGATGGGCCCAGCGGTGTCGCTTTCCAGGAGCCCGTGCGGCCAGGAAAGGTGCACCCCGCCCGTGAAGCTCCAGCTCTGAGCATCGCTTCTCCGACCCGACCTCTATCCCCATGTGCGTGGCCTGGGCCCCATTGGCCGATGTGCCCCGTTTTCTTCGGGCTTCGAGGAGTGTATCCCCAACTGGGGTGCTGCGATGGTGGGGGCCTGGATGGTGGGGACGGGGGAGGGGATGGGGATGATGTGCCCAGTTCCCTTCGGGCTTCGAGGGGTGTATCCCCAACTGGGGTGCTGCGATGGTGGGGGCCTGGATGAGGTGGGCGACGGGGGAGGGGATGGAGATGATGTGCCCTGTTCCCTTCGGGATTTCAGGGGTGTATCCCCAACTGGGGTGCTGCGATGGTGGGGGCCTGGATGAGGTGGGGACGGGGGAGGGGATAGGGGGTGATGTGCCCCGTTCCCTTCGGGTTTCGAGGGGTGCATCCCCAACTGGGGTGCTGCGATGGTGGGTGCCTGGATGAGGTGGGGACGGGGGAAAGGATGGGGATGATGTGCCCCGTTCCCTTCGGGCTTCGAGAAGTGTATCCCCAACTGGGGTGCTGCGATGGTAAGGGCCTGGATGAGGTGGGGACGGGGGACGGGGATGGGGATGGTGTGCCCCGTTCCCTTCGGGATTCGAGGAGTGTATCCCCAAATGGGGTGCTGCGATGGTGGGGGCCTGGACGAGGTGGGGACGGGGGAGGGGATGGAGATGATGTCCCCCGTTCCCTTTGGGCTTCGAGGGGTGTATCCCCAACTGGGGTGCTGCGATGGTGGGGGCCTGGATGCGGATAGGGGATGGAGATAGGGGTCGTTCAAACGATGCTGACTTCCAGGAGCCCGTGCGGCCAAGAGAGGTGCCAACGCCGCCGAAGCTCCAGCTCACTTCGGGGATCTGCTGACCCGGGCCAATCCAAACCTGGGTCAGTCGGGCCTTGCAGGATCCTGCACCCAGACCCGGGTCTATTCACCCCTGGCCCTGCAGGATACTGCAAGATCCAGCTCTCTGGCTGACCCCCGTTTGTTTGCAGTGACCCCCGTCTCAAGGCTCCCGATCTCGGCGGTGGACAAACCTCCCTTTAGTAAACCTCCCCTTAGTGACATCGGCCTGGGACCGAAACCGACGGACCTGGACCCGCAAAAATGACGGCCGCGACGCCCTCTCGCGAACCGAAAACGGCCAATTCCTCAATCGACGTGTCCGGGTAGGAGGCCTGTCCACCCCCGACGATCACCAGCAGCTGCTGCCCTCTGGGTGCAGTACGGCCCCCCTCCGATGCCCGATGCAGCCGTGCCTTCGCGGCCCCGGGGTCCCGCGAGGCGCCATCCCACGGATACACGAAGATCCCTCGGAGGCGCTCCAACGCGGGGCGCCCGCGCGAGACATCCAATCGATGGGGTCGCCGCCGAGGAGTCGGGACGGCGAGGCCATGGGCATGCAGCCAGCTCATATCAGAAGGATGCACGGCAAGGATGCACGGGCCTTGGACGGCCATGTCAACATTATTCGAGCGAGGATGGCCAACGAAAGTGGCCAAGGATAGACCGAGTAGGCCAGGATGCAAGGGTACTATTGGAAAGGTTACCCATCCCACCATGCGGGTTGACTGTGGTACCCGCCCGACAACTCAGCCTGGCACGAAACCCGACTGCCGAGGATTGTTGTGGACGACGTGCAGCCAACTGTGTTTGCACCTCATGGGGCATCAGGAGACGTCCGCGGGGACCTCCGGAGACCTCCGAGACCTCCAGGGAGACCAGGGGGATTGGAAGGAGGGGAATGGATGTACCGCAGGGCCTTTGCAGTCGATGCGCGTCGGTCAGAAGAAGCAGGACTACGGCAGAAGCATGAAGCAGGTGGGTATTAAACGTACACCACGCTCGTGTCGTGGAGACTTCGGCGATGCTTTTCTCTGACACCGCGCGGATCGTCCAACTGTTCCAGATAAGGGAGGAAAGAGAGAGGCTCTCGAAGTAGGAATGCGGTCAAAGCAAAGAGCACACGAAGACATGATTCAAAAGGCGTGCTATGTCAACACATGGCGAGTACGACAAGCACCTTAATGATCGGCGCAGCTGTACGGTCTTACCTGGCAGCTCCGCCAGACAAGAACATGGCTGAGCACCGAGTCCGAGCCCTCGAGTTGGACCTGGCCAGGTCAGGCTCCAACGCACTAGCTCGCAACCCCGAATCTTGGGCAGCGCCACGACGAGAAGACAGGGGGGCGTGCCTGTAGAAGGCAGCAGATTCCGAAACGGGGCCCTCGAATCTTGGGCAGCGCCAAGAGGACGGCCTTCCAAGAAGACAGGGGGGCGTGCTTGCAGAAGGCAGCAGCTTCCGAAACTGGTTCCGGAGACTCCTGAATAGTTGAGGCCTTCTCCCACAAGGAGGGGCCGCCGGATCTGCCTAGGGACGCGCTCTGGCCAGAATGCCGAGGCGGATCCAGCGGTGGCGAACACAGCGCCCCTGGAGGCCCAAAGAGGGGCGAATAGCTGTCGCAGGCCTCGACCCTCGATCCTGGTTACGTATCATCCTTCGCCTGCCCGTCCTTCACCTTCCCCTCCTTCTCTTCCTCCCCCTGCTCCTCTTCCTCCTATTCCTGCAGGACCATCCATCCTCGATAGTTGATCCCTCTCCTTCTCCTTCTCCTTTTCCTCCTCCTGCTCCTGCTCCTGCTCCTCCTCCTCCTCCTCCTCCTCGTTCTCTTCCTTCCGTAACCATTTTGGCTCAAAATGCAAGGTTCCCAGGTGAACCAAGTGGATACCGCCATTCAGCGGCTTGCTTCTGTCTTTCGGCCAGTTCTCAGTTCTCCCCGACCTAAGCTGCTCCCTGGCCCACCCCGGGGCCCAGCATCCTCTCTCCTGCCACCCGCGGGCGTGCAAGCGCCTCTGTCTCGGTTGGGTCGCAACCGTGGCCACTAGGGAAACAACGGTCGCGCATGCGGTAAAGGCAAGGACAAGTCAAGCCAGCACATCGCGCGCCAGAGCTGCAGATAGGGGAGGGACTTCAAGGACAACTCCTGGTGCTACCTCTGACGTGCCCCGCTGGTGACCAGCCCCTCGGTTGAGAACCTCCCAGCTGGCCAGTGTGCTCCCGCCACATGGGGCACGTACTGTCGGGCCGCTGGAATAAGGAACGGTAAATAACGAACGAAGTCCGTTTTTGGCCCACACAGCGCCAGCGCCCACGAGGAGGGCTAGAGGAACAACCACATATTGACCTAAGGAACATCGAGCCCCTTTCGTGCCCAAACTGCTCCTTAGTTCAGCGTCTGGACCGTACACGACTTGGGCACCACAGGATTCAAGGATAACGCAGCACGATGAAGACGACATCGATTGTTCAGCCAAACATGCCGAACGTTTTGTCGGGCGTCATCCCTGGCCGACAGACAATTCCTACACCCTGGGCGAACGGTCGAGATCACCGTCGGAAAGAGCAGAGACGATGGGGAGAGGAAGGAGGGATAGGGGAACGAAGAATGACATAAACATAAAAACTCGGAGGTCCGCGCGGATTTCTTGGATCCGCGCTGGACCCCGCTCCCTGGCGCGCGGAGCGCGCCAGGGGCGGCGCCGGAGGCACCGCCAGGGGGACCTCCGACGTATTATGTTCATGTCATTGTTCGTCCCCCTAAGGGAGGAAGGAGGGGAGGAAGGGAGCAGGGAAGATGGAAGCGAGGCGGGGGGGGGGGGGAAGAGGGAGGAGGGGGGACGGAGGCCCAGACATGCGACGTCCTCAATTTTTCAGGACGGCGTACCTGGAAGTCCCGACCCTTCCCCAGAACCGGCTCTTCGTCCTGAGTTATTTTGTTGACGGTCCCGAGGCCCAGCGAGGGCCCCCAAGGGCCGACAATGACGGAAAACCGGTCGTTCCGATTTTTTTTTAACGACGAGATCATGTCTGGGAGAGGAGGGAGGGACCCCGGAGGAGGGATTGGAGGCCTTGAAATTGACACCAACACCAACACAGGGGGCTGCCTCCGAAGGGGGGAGATGATCCTAGATTTCGGGGTTGGTGGTAATATTTCGGCCGCCTTGGAGCCAGAATATTACCACCGTCTCCGAGACTGGGATCTCCTTCCCTCGGTGGAGTCGCGCCGCCGATATTGGTGTTGGTGTCAACCTCGAGGCCTGCGAAGGGAGGAGAAGCGGAGGGCCTGGCCGGCTGCGTGGGCTGCCAGCCCCGCCCAGCGGGGGCGCGCGCCAGCGCCGACGACCCCCGCGCCGGCTGCGCGAACCCCTCGCGGGGGTGAGGAGTGAGGGAGGGAGGGGGGGGGGGGGGGGGGGGGGAGGGAGGGAGAGGAGGAGGAGGGAGGAGGAGGAGGAGGAGGAGAGGAAGGAGGAGGAGGAGGAGGAGGAGGGGAGAGGAGGAGGAGGAGGAGGAGGAGGAGGAGGAGGAGAGGACCAGGGAGTCGAGGGAAACGCAGAGGAGAAAGAGAGAGAGAGCGAGAGAGAGAGAGAGAGAGCCAAGCACATGAGCACAAACGCCGTGGCCTCACGCGGCGACGCGCAAGACAGTTTCACGGCTGCGCGCCAGGCTGCGGCGGACGATGGTGAGGAGGACACGCACCAGGAAGGCGAGGGTAGCGAGGATGATGATAAACTGGGGGGTACGAGGAGGGGGGAGACGAAGCATGAGGAGAAGGACAATAATGAACAGCGCACGTAACATGAGGTGGACCGCCCCGCTCCCAGACGGCAGGCTATCGGCCCGCTTGGTCAGATAAGTAGTAGTCGCTGGAGATGCTAACCCCAGCGAAAACGAAGATAAAGATAAACTGCTTGGGGCTGGCGAGGTAAAGCTGTCGAAGGCTAGGAATAGCAGGAGGACGAGGGGAACGACACTGGAGGTAATGCCGTCGAAGGCTAGGAATAGCAGGAGGACGAGGGGAACGACTCTGATGGGAAACAGCAGGAGGACGACGAGGAGGATGAGGAGGAGGGGGAGAATGAGGAGGAGAAGGGCCAGCAGGAGAAGCAGAAGGAGAGGGAGAAACAAGGAGACAAGGAGCAGGAGGAGAAGCAGGAGAAAGACCTTCTACGTCAGCTGCCTACACCAGCCACGACACGATGCCGACTGCCGACCTCTGCACGCGAGGACTGGCCCTCACGATCGACAGCAGGGCTTCCAACTAGCAGGTGAAACAGCGCCTCCAACTAGCAGGGCTTCCAACTAGCAGGGCTTCCAACTAGCAGGGCTTCCAACTAGCACAGTACACCGTCCTGGCATCAGCACTCGAGGGAATGCCACTGCCACGACGGCCAGCAACGAAAGTCATGAGAACAGACAGCCCTACGCCCAGTAACGTGGTCTACGGTTCCGGCACGAGATGCCCCTGTACTGCGCTCCGACTCGACTGCCATCAAGTCCGGGCTGTGACAGAATGGACTACATCAAGACGGACTCTGCACAACAGACAAGTACAACCAACGGCCACACTAGCCTCCAGCCCACGGAGCCGCATTGCACGCCGACAGCGCGATCGGTGACAACACATCGCCCACCCCAGTGTGGCTCTACCCTCCAGGTCAGAGCGGCACCACCTACACCTCCTCTCCTCTCCTGACAACCAACGGCTGAAAAGGCGAACGACACCCTCATTCCGAGACGGGACCTCAGAGGCCCGTCAGTGCGTCACTACTCCCGACAAGCCAATTCTGCTACCAATAACCGCCGGTTCCGACTCATGTTTGTCCAGGCAGCGCCGCGCGCCACTAGCTGTCCCATTGATTACCGACTCCTGACCTCTGCGCTGTCCTTTACCCAAGCCGCCTCACTCACCGTTACGGCAGCAGCGGCAGCTGGACTCGTTCCTCCTACGGCACACGGCGCGCGACCACTCCTACTCCCAGATGGCGGCAGCACCAGCAAACGGCGACAGCGGCAACCTCATGTGGCGCGCAGATAGTGGGTCCACGGTAACATAGGGCTTCAAAAACCAACCGCGGCTTTCACACCCACACTCATCCAACGTGCCACATGCACCTACGGCGGCTACTATCTGCGACGGGCAATGCTATGCAGTGGGGTCCACGGTCAGACAGGGCTCCCGAACACGCTGTGACTTTCTCACCCACGTATGCTGCTCATCCGGCGCACTGTGAAAGTACAAGACACATTTGCAACATAGGCGGAGCAGCATCTTTCCAAGACCGGTGGGTAGAGCTCTTCCATGAACCTCCATGGCGGCGGCCTACTCACCAGCTCCAAGCTGAGGCCTCGGTGGCGACAGCACGAAGAGCCAACTTTCCACCGGTCCTGAGAGAGCCCTCGGGGCGGATCATAGTTCAAGGGGCCCTGGGACACACAAAAAAAATCCACACAAATAAAAGGATTCCTCGTATTTTCCCACATTTTCTGGGTTTGTGTCTTCTCCCCCACCTCCCATATTTTCCCATATTTTCCTGGGAGTCGACGATTAATTGTGTCTGTATGTTTTTTTCCCTCCTGAATAGCGGGGGGGATGGGCACGAGGGCACCTCACCAGCGGCCTCCCTGACAGAGGCTGGGGCGGCCGCGGCGCAGCGCCGCTGCCGCCGAGCCCACCTCTGGGCCAAGTCCGGGCAGCCCAGCCACCTCCCTCGGAGCCGACTGTCTGATCTCGCGCCCAGGCAGCCCACCTTGAAAGCATACCCCACTTTGCTCACTCCCTTCATTCTCTCAGCACCGCCTCTTCGTGCTGCTTCCATCTGCTGAGCTGCCCGTCGAAGGTAGGAACTCCTCTTTGGAAGAGCTGACACCCCATCCAATACAGATGCGCTGCCGTTCGCAACGTTGATGATGCTGGTCTTCGTGAGGCTGAGATTGTCGACTGGGTCGTCGGAGTAAAAGCCGCAGGATGCTGCGATGCCATTGTAGGCATCGCTGGAGTACGACTCCTAGTCGAAGTTGTCATGGTATCGATCAGACCCGCTGATCTGGTTGTTCAACAAGTTCTACGCATATTGAGCGTGCGAGCCCGGAAAGCTACAGACGCGGTACCCATGCGAACCTCTCTGAGCTCCCGAAACCTCTGAGAAAGATTGACGTCATAATCTTGATCAAGAAAATTAATACCATCTTTCTCACACCGCTATGCGCGCATGATTCAAGTGCCCTGTTGGGTTCCGTTCAGGCCAATAGGAGACGGCGGGAAGACAGTCTCTCTCCTGCTGCTCGGCTTGCACTGCTGTTGCTACCCTATACACGTAATTACACGATCTACGGCCAACCCGTATGGTAAGGATGCGCGGTGAGGATGCAAGGGCCTTGGAGGGCCATGTTGACGTTTTGTCGAACGAGGCTGGCCAGCGCAAGTCGCCACGGATGGGCCGAAGGGGAAGCATGCATGGGCAACCTTGGGAAGATTGCGCATCCATACTCTTCGGGCTGACTGTATGGCGTAGATCTCACGCAAGCCCAAGAGGTACCGATGCAAATGCTCCCTGGACCGCTCCCCGGGGGGGGGGCGCTCTGACCAGAATCTCGCACGGCGAATCCAGCCGTGGCGACGACAAAATGAGCCTCCCGGGAGGCCCACGGGCGAACAAAAAACGAGGGAAGCGCGGCGGCAGCAGGGCAGCCTCCTCCTCTGCATCGCCCCCCCTCTCGGAATCGTGCTGGCACAACCCTTACGTGGGTGCGGAAACTTGGGCACGATGGCCAGCAGCAAATGCTGCCCAAAAGCAACCGCGGACGCGGTTGGACGGGCCTCTCTCTGCCTCAAGTGGACAACGCCCGCGGAGACGTCGACAGCTGGTCCTGTCCAAAATGGACAAGAACTGCTGTCGATATTCGGCCCCGGTCTTTCCGCACGCATTTCGGCCCTCCAAGGGTGCGCGAAGAACCGCGTCCCGAAGGCACCCCAGCGAAATCACGAATCCACGCCTAAAGCAACCGATAGTCTCTGGCGAATCCCACGTCGATTCGCAAAGCCGACCGGGGACTGCACCGGCACCCTTGCATGCCAACATCGGGTGAACCCGTGCAGGCTCCCCCATCAATCGACCTGTCAGGGTGGGGGTTCTCAATGCCCGATCCTCCGACTCGCCCCCCCTTCAGGACTCTTCCGTACCCACTTCGGCCCTCTAATTGTTCCTAGGACAAAAGAACGTTCTTAGAACGCATATCAAATGGATGATAACGAGAGTGTCCGAGCCACAAAACGCTCTAAGCACTTTGTCCAAACCAGTGAATGCCCTCTGGGCAGGCCAAGACGACTCGCCACTGCTTGACATGACGAGCGCCCCTCCTGGACTCTTGCGACGCTCTCGGGGACGCACACGCCTGAGTCAATATGAACTTCGTGACATGGCCCTGGCCGCTTAGCAGCTCCCAAACCCCCTCTTCTCCTCCTCCTCCTCCTCCTCCTCCCCCTCCTCCTCCCCCTCCTGCTCCTCCTCCTCCTGCTCCTCCTCCTCCCCCTCCTGCTCCTCGCCCTCCTCCTCGCCCTCCTCCTCCTCGCCCTTCCTCAGTTCTTTTGGATCTTACACCCCAGCTCCACCTGGCTACAACCGGGCCAGGGAAGGGCGATAGGGGGAATCGGCCCCACGCGACCCCAAAACCCAGGTCAGCCAGAGGGGATTGGCTGACCCCCGTCACTCGAGTAGGGGATCAACTACAGAATTGCATAACCCCAGACTTGAGGCTTTCGCAGGCTCCACAGCAAGTTCCCACAACCTCTGGAGGTTCTGCAAGTCTGCCGCAGATTGCACGAGAATTTGCAGCCTGGGATACATCAATTCTGTAGTCGATCCCCTACGGCAGGTTAGCGCCGCGTCGACTTCGGCGTTGCTTCCTGATACCGCGGTCATCGCTCAACCTTGAACGATCGGCCATTCCCGAAGCGTCGGAGCGCTCAACGATGGGCCGACTCTGGGTCGCCCGCGGCGCTCAACATGGAACGCTGGCGGCGGGGTCGCCGCTGGTGGGCACGACGCGAACCTACCGTGTTGAGGCGTCCAAGATGGGGTCCGAGTAGATGTGGTCGGAGGATCGCGCCGCGTCGGCGATACATCTGCGATGCATTGCAGATGCATTGGCGATGAACTGGCGACGTCGACGATGCATCGGCGACGTCGGCGTAGAGGAAATCGAGCTCCGCATCGAGCCGCATGGGCGATGCAACGGCGATGCGGCGCGATCCCCCTGCCCCATCTAGGCGGACCCCATCTAGGAGGCCTGGACGTGCTCGAGCCACGTGAGCCCCCCACACACCCCGACTTCGTGATTCTTCCACGACGTCGACCCCCAGAAGTCTGGACTCCCCTTCCCCAGGCTCGGCTCTTCATCCTGAGGGGCGGCTTTGCCGGCCCCGAGGCCCGGGAAGGGCCCCTGGAGGCCGAGCATAGCGAAAATCCTCCCTGCGCGACTCTGTCACAACGCGAGGGGGTCTGAGCCCCAATTTGGGCGCCCGAGTTATCCGGGGTAACTCGGGTCCGGGGTAACTCGGGTTTGGATTCCCGAAAAAGGAACCCGAGTTAGCCCTGACCCGAGTTACCCCTGATGATGTGGGGCTCTGGACGCCCGAATTATCCGGGGTAACTCGGGACCGGGTAACTCGGGTTCGGATTCCCGAAAAAGGAACCCGAGTTAGCCCTGACCCGAGTTACCCCTGATGATGTGGGGCTCTGGACGCCCGAATTATCCAGGGTAACTCGGGACCAGGGTAACTCGGGTTCGGATTCCCGCAAATCGAACCCGAATTAGCCCTGACCCGAGTTACCCCTGATGATTCGGGGCTCTGACCAACGCTCCCGGCGGCCGCCTCCCGCAGCGGCGCCCCGCGGCACGCCGCCAGCAGCGCGGCGGCCGCCACGGCGGCCGACGCGGCGCCGCGGCGCCGGGCCCCGGCGGCCCGCCGAGGGGGCGCGCGGAGGCCCCGCGGCTCGGCGGCCGCCGGGCCTCCGCGGCGAGGGGAGGCGAGAGCGGCGAGAGCGGCCGACAGCGAGGGCCGGCGCCCGAGGCGTCGACGCAGCAGGCGCCCGACGGCGAGGGCGGCGGCGGCGGCGGCGGCGCCCAGGGCGGCGACGCCGAGGACGAGGGCGGCGACGGCGGCGGCGGCGGCGAGGGCGAGGACGACGACGGCGTCGGCGGCGGCGTGGACGGCGACGGCGGCGGCCGCGGCGGCAGCGGCCTGCTCGTCGCCCTCCGGGGAAAGTCTCGCCGCCAGGGCAAGGTCCGCCTCGAAATCTTGACTAGAGCGCTGCATGTTTTGCATGTTTCGGGGGCCTCTGTGGGCCTCCAGGAAGCTTCTCGTCGCCGAGGCTGGACTCCCCTCGAGGTCTCGGTTAGAACGCCCCTTCCAGTCCTCCCAGCCCTCGCAGCCCTCCAGGAGCCTCGAGGAGCCTCACGGGGGCCCACCTCAAGAGGAGGAGCATGAGCAGGACGGGGAGGAGGGGACGGAGGGAAGGGGAAGGGGAGAGGGGAGCAGCGGCGGGGCAGAGC